GGTAAGTTACCAAAAATATAATAATTATTATTATAATTATGATATTTATAATAATTAAAGAAAGGTAAGTTAAAATTGCAGAAAGGTAAGTTAATTATTATGAAGTTAAATTTCTAATTAGTTTTTACACAAAATGCCTTTGAAAACGTGATATTATTAATCTAAAAATAATTTTTACTATTAATCTAAAAAAATGGTTTAAAAGCTACAAATACAGTTCTTTTTTTATCACACGGTATTAACCATAATAATTAAAGAAAGGTAAGTTAAAATGGCGAAGAGGTAAGTTAATTATTGTGAAGTGAAAATTAATATTACTTTTAACATATAATGCCTTTAAAATGTCATATTATTAATCTAAAAATAATTATTATTATTAATCTAAAAAATGGTTTAAAAGCTATAAATACAGTCTTTTTTTATCACACGGTATTAACCATAATAATTAAAGAAAGAAAAGTTAAAATGGCGGAAAGGTAAGTTAATTATTATGAAGTTAAAATTAATATTAGTTTTACACACAATGCCTTTTAAAAACGTCATATTATTAATTTAAAAAATTATTATTATTATTAATCTAAAAAAATGATTTAAAAGCTATAAATATAGTTCCTTTTTTATTACACGATATTCCTTCGTATGGAGTGTACTAATTGTACAATTTCGTACGTTATTTTAACCCTTTTTTTGTACACTCCATACAGTTCCTTTCGTACATTAATTTTAACCTCTTTTTTTGTGTAGGGGTGTTCGAAATTTGTTCCTTTTTTATCACACGGTATTTTAATACCGTAAGTAACTGTCATTTTTATACACCCAATTGGGAATAATTACAAAAGGTAAGTTATACATTTATACACCTAATTTTGCAAAAAAAAAATTAATAATAATTAAAAAAGATAAGTTATGCCATTTCCACACCCAATTTCGCATAAAAAAATAATTGGAAATAATTAAAAAAGGTAAGTTATAATACTGAACGTGAGTAATATAAATTGGAAATAATTAAAAAAGGTAAGTTATAATACTGAACGTGAGTAATATAAATTGGAAATAATTACAAAATGTAAGTTATAATACTGAACGTGATTAATATAAATTAGAAATAATTAAAAAAGGTAAGTTATAATACTGAACGTGAGTAATATAAATTGGAAATAATTACAAAAGGTAAGTTATAATACTGAACGTGATTAATATAAATTAAAAATAATTAAAAAAGGTAAGTTAAAATATTGTGAGTTAACGGTAGGCACGCCTATTATGTTGTTGAGAAATATTGACCATTCATTGGATTTATGTAATGGTACACGGTTGATAGTAACCCGGTTGGCTAATCACTCAGCAGGAAGCTAAGCCACATGGGTGAAGAAGTTATTATTCTAAAACTATCATTAACACCGTCCGATACAAGAATTCCATTCAAGTTTCAAAAAAGACAATTCCTTATGGTTACTTCGTACGCAACGACGATTAACAAAAGTCAGGGACAATCTTTAAAACATGTTGGACTATTGTTACGAAAACTTGTGTTTAGTCATGGACATCTCTATGTTATAGTTTCAGGAGTAACTAATCGTAGTGGGTTGAAGATTGTGATATGCAATGAAGACAATATTCCCACAAATTGTACAAATAATGTAGTCTATTAAAAAGTCTTTCAAAAGTTGTAAAGCAGTGATGTTTTTTACCTTAAAATAAAATAATCTCTATATTCTATTGCATATCATTTTTATCATTGAAAAATGATTTGAATTTAATAACACAAAAATGACCCGTGCAACGCACGGGTGTGATACTAGTTATGACTAACTAAAATAATTCACTACTCTCATTTATAAATGGGATTGTAATGCCCCGAAACATACCCTAGAATTATTATTAAATAATTATTCGATTAAACAAATTTGTTTTGATTATTATTGGGCTTTGGGCCGATATGAAATATTTTTTTAAATATCCAATATCAAAATCTGGATAAGTCTAATCGAGATAAATCCAATATGTGGACTATTTGTGTGGTCTTGATTGGGAACCTGAGTACAGACCCAAATCAAGAATAAATTAATTAATTAATTATGATGTGAACTTTATAATGAGTTATTGAAATAAATCATGAGAATAATTGATATGAATTAAATGAGAGAACCTTTTATGAGAAAGGTCAATTAAACCAATTTTGACTCCGTTAAAGTCAAACACCCAAAAATATGATGTCAGAAAAAAGTATTACAAATAATTATGAAAAGTATATCGTTGGATAGAGCTCGACTGTCTGATCGCAACGGTGCAAACGGATTTCAATTTGGAGAAAGTTGGACCAAAAAGTGTACCCGACTGGAACCAAAATAGGTCCCAATCAGGGAACTGTTTAGACGGCGCCTCCTTCCCCACTACGCCGATCGCAGAGTCACCTTCTTCTTCTTCTTCTTCTTCTCTCCTTCTCATTATATAAGAAAACCCAACCTTCTCATTTCTTCACCATTCTTCTTCATTCTTCTTTCTAAATGTTCATGAAAGTGTGAGGAGTGTTGTGGTGCTGTCGATTTGGTGTGAAGTCGCTGGAGTTGGGAGAAATACTCGCCGGAAGTTTCGCCGGAAAATTTCCAAAACCTCCATTAAGCTTCGAGGTAAGCCCCTAGATATATCTAATGACTAGAATGTTCATATAGGTCGTTTCTACGTTCATAAATGGTCATTTAGTTGAGTTTTGTGTTTGACATACTTGAAGAACTAAGAATCATAAACCATGAAATTGATGTTAAAATTATCAATTAATGATGCTAAAATGATCCATGAACCTTGGAGAACATTTTTATATACTTTAATTGAAGTTTGGTGAGTAAAAGTGACATTTCCGCAAGTTGGCTCGAGGTAGAAGACGATAGATAATCGATTATCAACTTGAAAATCGATTATTCATCGTTCTGCAGATTTTTGTAACAAAGCTGAGCAACAGTCGATTATCAGAATGTGATAATCGACTGTCAGCCCTCTCTGAAGTTTGATAATCGATTATCAGAGTGTGATAATCGATTATCAGCCCATTCTGAACATCAGACAGTAGATTATCAGAAGTGACAGTAGACTGTCTCCCTACACTATTGAAGAAAATGAAGCTAATAGCTAATAATTGAATTTCCTATCATAT